CCTTGACACTGTCCACCACGATGATGTCTTCTATAACTTTGATTTTATCAGGATTGATCTCGATCCCTCGGTTGGACACCATGAACCCGAGGAATTTTCCAGATTCGACCCGAATGCACATTTTTCCGGGTTCAGCTTTATATTATACCTCTTTAATATACTAAAGGTTTCCTATAAATGTTTCAAATAGTCCTCTGCTCGCAGGGACTTGACTAACATGTCGTCAATATAAACCTCTATTGATTTTCATATCTGCTCTTCGAACATCCGATTTACTAGGCGTTCAAAAGTAGCTCCGATGTTTTTTAACCCAAATGGCATTACATTATAACAGTAGGTGCCGAATTTAGTGATAAAAGAAGTCTTTTCTTGATCGCTCGGGTCCATCCAAATTTAGTTGTACCCGGAATAGGCATCGAGAAAGTTGAGTATCTTGTGCCCGACCGACGCATCGATCATGTGATCGATGTTAGGCAAAGGAAAAGAGTCCTTAGAGCATGCCTTGTTCAAGTCTTTGTAATCTATGCACATTCTTAATTTATTCCCTTTTTTTGGCACTACCACTATGTTAGCTAACCAGTCCGGGTATTTTACTTCCCAAATGGAACCTATTTTAAGGAGTTTAGATACCTCGTCTTTGATGAATGCATGCTTGACTTTGGACTGAGGCCTCCTCTTCTATTTAACCGGGTGGAACTTCGGATCCAAACTCAACTTATGAGTGGTTATCTCCGGCGGAATCCCTGTCATATCAAGATGGGACCAAGCGAAACAATCTATGTTAGCTATAAGAAATTCAATGAGTTTTTTCCTGAGCTTAGGAGTTAACCCCGTGCCCAGGTATACCTTCTGATCGGGTAAGTGTTCGATCAATATGACTTGCTCCAACTCCTAGACCGTTGATTTGGTGGCATCGGAATCATCAGGGGCGATGAATGACCTAGGGATTCTGTAATCATCATCCTCGCATGCTCCCTGCTCCTCCGGTTTGGTCGGGGCCTGTATCGGTGATTGTTATTTAGTTTCTTCCTTCCTAACCGGCTCTGTGTTCTTTGATGTTGAGAGCACGGTCATCGGGATCACCTCGTCGACTGTGAACATTTCTTTTACGGCCGGCTGTTCCCCGTAGACCATCTTGATTCCTCCTGGTGTGGGGAACTTCAGTGCCCGGTGTAATGTCTAGGGTACTGACCTCATGTTGTGAATCCAAGGCATTCTGAATAAGGTGTTATACCTCATTTCCCCTTCGATCACATAGAATTTGGTATCCTGAATCATCTTGGCGGTATTCACTGGCAAATATATTTCTCATTTGGTAGTTTTGCATGCCATGTTAAATCCATTCAACACCCGGACTACTGGCACTATTTGGTCTTGTAAACCTAACTGCTCCAAGGCCTTCGATCTAATGATGTTGGCCGAGCTACCTGGGTCAATCAACACACGTTTAACTCGAGATTCATTTATAAGTACGGATATTACCAGTGTGTCATTATACGGTTGTACGATGCCTTCATCATCCGCATCATTGAACGAAATGGTTCCCTCCAGGATACAATCCCGTGTTCGCTTTTCCCTTGTGATGGACACTTTAGTGCCCTTTATTATCGATCCCTAGGGGACATTGACCCCTCAAATGATCATATTGATGTCGTGTTGAGGTTCTTCTTGTTCGGTATATTTGTTGGAGTCCCTGTTCCTGAAGTGATTTTTGGCTCGATCGCTCAGAAATTCCCGGAGATGCCCGTTATCGAATAATCGGGCCACTTCTTCTCTTAATTGTCTGCAGTTCTCGATCATGTGGCCATGAGTGCCATGATATTTACATATCAAGTTAGGTTCCCTCTAGGTAGGATCGAACTGCAGAGGTTGAGGCCATTTGGTCTCTTTGATGCGCCCGATGGCAGATACGATGATGGCTGCATCGATGTTGAAGTTATACTCTGATAATCTCGGAGGTTCCCTTCCCCGGAGCGGACTATCGAAACCATTTTTGCTCATCAGGCCTCGGTTATTGGGCCCTCAATCGCTTTTCCTTTTATTCCTTGTAGAGTTGTGCCCGGACCTGTTTCCCCTTTGATCTGCACTGTATAGTTGATACCGATCTCGAATCGGCCTTGATTCATGATCGACGACTCTCTTAGGCATGTCTTCGGTTCTGATGGGATAAACGGACCCGGAAGGGCTCCAAGTTGGTCATCCTCCACTCTGATTTTTGACTAGTACATGTCGTGGACGTCGACCCAAGTTATTGTCGGGTATTCTACCAAGTTTTGTTTCAGCTGCTGCGAAGCCAAGGAGCTTCGGGGGTTAAGTCCTTGAGTGAATGCCTGAACGGCCTAATCGTCCGCAACCGGAGGCAGGTCCATCCATTCCATTTGAAACCTTGACACGAACTCCCTGAGCATCTCGTTGTCCCTTTGCTTAACTTTGAAAAGGTCTAATTTTCTGGTCTCGACCTTGATGGCTCCGGCATGAGCTTTTACAAAAGCATCTGTGAGCATAGTGAACGAATCAATGGAGTATGGGGGAAAGTTGTGGTACCATATCATCGCTCATTTTGATAGAGTCTCCCCAAACTTCTTTAATAACACCGACTCAATTTCGTCGCCACCCTTAATGGCGCATATGTAAGAGGTCACATGCTCATTTGGATCTGTGGTTCCATTATATTTTGGAATATCGGGCATACGAAACCTCTTTGGGATTGGTTTCGGTGCCGCACTCAGAGGGAAAGGCTTTTGGACAAATTTCTTAGAGTCCAGGCCTTTCAGTATCGGAGGCGCTCCTGGGATTTGATCAACTCAGGAATTATATGTCTCTACCTTCTTGTCATTTGCCTCGATTTTCTTTTCACCAGATTCCACTCGTTTAATGCTTCTAGCATTTTCATCACTTCAGGGCTGACACCGAACTCAGCTTTCCCCGGCCTTTCGGTCATCTACTCATTTCTTCGGGTATTTTACCGGGGCAATTCAGGCTCAACTCTGCTGGGGGCGCGACTTTTGTTTTGCAGTTGTGCTATCTCCATCTGCTGATCCTGTTGCATTTCGAAGATCTATCATAGACTGACCCCGTCGCCTTCGCCTTCGGGTGCTCCCTGAGCCGTTGGTCGAGCTCCTCCGTGAACAATATTTTCGGGGTCAGTAAGAAGGTTGGCGTCATTGGCCACATGTGAGTTAGCATCGACTGGGTCTACGAGTGGGACCCCGTTGGGATCAGCAGGGGGCATCTCATTGCTAGGCACCAGATTGTTGTTTTCACCATGATGGCCAGATCCGTCCTCGGCGTTCAAGTGAGCGGATTGAGAATTTGACATTTTCAAGCCGACCTAAAAATGACACCTTAAAGAACAAGTGTAAAATAGAGTGTGCTATGGAGATTTGTATCAAACCACCACTATTATCCTTAGCCCCACGGTGGGCGCCAAACTGTTTACTCTTAAAATGGGTAATAATTGAATTTATACGCAGTTTTAAGGATATGTGGACTAATTTAATACAAGTGATCAATAACGTTAAATAAGTGAATTAAAGATAGAAATAATGATCAAACCAGTTGTGATGTTAGGTCCGAGCTTGGATCTGAACTTAGTGATTGGTCTACCCTCTGTTCGAAGCCAAATACTTATGAAGGACTATAAGCAAAAATAAAAAATTTGAATAAGTTTAGAAGTAGAGAAAACGAATGTATATTGTCTTGATATGCGTGTTACAATATGTCCATTGAATAAAAATCTTCTCCTTTATATAGTAGGAGAGTTTCATCCCAATACAATTCTAAGAAAGGTATAAATCCTCTTTTTCGTTAATCACTAATCTGTTGCCGATACGGGCCGAGATCCGCGCCGTGATATCTGCGTCGTGATATCCGGTTGGGTGCTGATATCACGACCCTTCATTAGTCGTGTGCAATTATTTGGTAATGCTCTTATGAGGTCTTGAAACTTGAACCGGATCCGGGGGCGTGGTCTCGATGGCTCCAGTGGGAGGCGCTTCATTCGAGCCTTAGCACGAGAGGTTCCTACCTTCGATTCCGATTCCATGTAGTTATGCCATTGCTTCGTTTTTCCTACCGGAAAATCGGAGTGCTCATTAGCCTCGGTTTTACCCGTATAAAATTATATAACAAATAAACAACAAATCCCAGCCTATGAATTCGACAAAGAGACATGTCAAGCAGCTAAGGTTGTATTGAATATTATCAAAGCTAGAAACAATGGAGCGCACCCGCTCCCTCGGGGGAATTGCTGCCCCTATATGAGCTTCGGACAGATTGCTCCCTTCTTCCGAACCTCCCCCTCAAGTTATATAGGTACATCTTGAGGAATATACATTATCAAAAACTTATACGTTAAATATTTGGGGTTATGAATATGAAAGGTATGAGAATTATTAAAATTATTAAAAATATAGGTTATGAAAATAAAGAGGTGTGAGTTATGAAGATAAAATTTTTAAAATAAGATAAATGGAGAAAATGATGAAAACCCCCAAAAAAGGAGACAAAAATAAATATGTTTCTTAGCTTGAGGGGTATCACCTCACTTTTCTGTTGCTGCCATGAAATATATCCCGACATGAAATTTCGCAATAAAACAAGATAATGTTTAGGTGATTAAGAAGAAAAATCTTTAAATTACTAGAAGAACATTTGGTTGACGATGTTAAATAATATCCGCATTAAATTATACAAAAAATTATACATATATTTTATGCGAGATAGCATGAAATAAATATATGTATTAACAATGCGCGTAATAAACTATTTAAAGATAAAACATCCTTTTAAAGTAAGTAATTCATGTATCAAGATCTATTAATCATAGATATGATTATTTGGAGAAATCACTTATTCTTTATTATGATTTTAAAAAATCTATGAATTAACTGTGCAAAATGTTATTTATATAATTTCTTTAAAATATTTCAAAGTATACACTACAATTTTTTGTGTTTTTCTTTTTGCAATATATATAAATTTCAACTGCAAATTAGATTCAAAAGTGGACACCTCCTACTCTGTGCAGTGCATGAGAGTATCCTCTTAACTCAATTTCTATCAAAAAAACGCACTTTTTGCTGGAGCCTGGAGAAATGGTAGGATATTGAGCTGGAAAAAAAAGCTAGGGTTTGATATTCATGGCTGCAACTGACAGTGATAACAAGCGACACCATACTGGAGAAGGAAGAGGTGGTGATTGTGAGGCGTCAATGGAAAAACTTCCACACCACATAATAACTCACGTATTGCACAAACTGGATTTGGAATCTCTTTGCACCGCTGCTTGCGTCTCTCGAACTTTCCATTCCGCCGTTACACACCTTCTTTCTTCTCTTTCCTCTCTCGATCTTTCTGTAAGTCAATTTTCTTTAATGCCCTAATTTTATTAGTAGATACAATCAGATGGGACATCCACGTAACCTAATTGAGCACAATACAATAGCAAATGAAGTAAGCAAATACAATTAAATAAATAAATCGTTGTATCTCGAGTTCATTTCTTAAGTTTTGGTCCTTAATTATCTAAAGCTTTGTTTAGATTTATATACTTGTTCAGATTATTACGAAATGAAATGATTGGGAATAGGGTGGATTGGATTCCCAGGACTTAATATGCCTGACTCCGTTTAGTTTAGGATTTGATTGCATTGATTGTCTTGAGATTGTTTTGGCGCCGAGAATCATTCAGAGTTCATTGCTGGTTGATTTAGGTTGACCTAATTATGTATGCTTTACTAGCAAACACTGCGGAGGCATTTTCTTGGCTTCACTTTGCTACGTGCGCATTGCAATGCAACTGTAGCCGATCCACTCACGGTAAAAATAGTCTTGTGAATCACACCAAAGGGTGTGGCCTAGTGGTCAATAAAGTGCGAGGAGAACCATGAGTTATCAAGTTCAAATCCCACTGAGGAAAAAAATATTAGGTGATTTCTCCCTATTTGTCGTAAGCCTTGGTTGGCATAGTTAAACGGTACCTCTATTGGTAGAGATAGCAGGTACCTGGTGGAATAGTTGATATGCGCGCAAGCTAGTTCAGACACTATTGTCATCAAAAGATAGTCTGATGAATCCTCTTATTATCAAATAGAGCAGCATGGGTGCGGAGAATGTATATAGATTGGGATTGAGACGTAGTTGACTGTCCGTTGACTGTCTTTACTCTGCTAATGTCATTTCTACTTCTGGGATGAACTTTTAACAAGAGTATCTCTGATTTACAGGGATTTTCTCTTGATGAAGAGTCTTTAAAACATGTTGTGAGTAGGGTACAAGGAGCCAAGAGCTTAACGATTGATTGCCTCCAGGTGGAGAATGATTCCTCCATTTTCAATATCCTCCATGAACATATCGTAGACTTGAGTTTGCTCAAATGTTCCTCTCTGTCTTATGACATTCTTCGTGCAATTGGAGAAAGGTGCCCCAACTTAAGGTATTCTCTTCTGTCAAACTTCATTTCTTGCTACTTTCAACAATTGACATGCATTGCCAATTGTTATTAGACGCATCGTTGGTTCTGGTATGAGCTGTACAAGTGGCAATCGTTTAATCGGGGCTTAGAAGGCATCAATCTCCATTTCTATATGGAAATGTTGGATTTTCAGACGCTATTATCCTGGAATTCTCTCTGCATAAATGAATTTTATTAATTGTAATAGTTCACTTGAGCCATTACACTTCAACTTCCAGAAGCAGATTTGCTAACTTAAATAACTTGTGGCGTACAAGTATATTTGTGAACCAATTCATTTATCTGCTAATTTTTTATTAAAATGTTTCTCATTGACCTTCGACGATCTTTCTTAGGCTGTCTGGTATAGAAAACTGAACTTTGAGCTTTTGCACTTGGCATTTATTAACTCCATTCTGTATCATTACCTTCAGAAGATGGAACTGTCAAGATAATTGGAAGTCCATTGTGCTTACACCAGCAAAATGTTGCTTCTGTACTATGTGACTTCTCCTTGGCTTTGTTTTCCAATGTACATCCTTTTTTCTTTCTGAAACAGGTTCTTCCTTATAGAATTTGCTGGGCATGTATTACCGGAACTTTTCAAAACAAAGCTTATAGAAATGCTCCAAAAGATTTCCTTGTTGGAGGTAAAGTATTCTCATGTATAACAATTTTTCCTCCCTTATTCAAATTGTCTTATGATGCCTCTTCAAACTTGTTACTCTTAGAACTAAGAGTTTTTCCTTTGTTGGTCAACCTTATGAGCTCTTCTTTTTCCTGCAGGCCCTGTCAATAAAAATCCGAGGGACCATACTTGATGTTTTTGATTTACAATCTCTTGAACTATTTTTGCCCAAGAGTGTCAAGAGTTTAAAGTTGCAGCCAACGGCTGAACACTTCTCTATCCACTGGATAGATAAGCTCAGAGGTGTCCCTTGGTTCAAATTGCAAAGCTTATCTCTTGTCTTGGACATTATTTCAGATAACCTTTTCATCACAGTTGTGAATTCTCTTCCGCTCTTGGTAGAGCTGGATCTTGAAGACAGACCTCTCACTGAGCCATCGATGCGGTTGGATTTGACCAACACTGGACTACAGTGTCTGGAGGTTTGCCAGCATCTAATTACCCTCTCAATTGTTCGAAGTAGAATATATTATCCTGCTTCATTTAAGAGAGTGGACAATTTGGGCATGTTCCTTCTTTCTGAAGGTTGTGGAGGACTTGAATCAGTGAAACTTGGTGGGTTCACAAAGGTTACTGAAGCTGGCTTTTCATCAATTCTGCACTCATGCCAGAATCTGAAGAAATTTGAAGTGCTGAATTCATCTCTATTGTCAGACTTGGCGTTCCATGATATGAGGGGAGTTGCTAGGTCCCTACTTGAATTAAGGTTGTTATCGTGCAGGCTTCTAACCAGTGAAGCTATGGAGGAATTATCCTCATTTAGTAACTTGGAGGTACTTGACACAAGTGGGTGCAGAAGCATTTCTGACCCCTGTCTCAGCTACATATCAGGTCTTACTACACTCAGGACACTAAACTTAGCAGAAGCTGATATTACTGACAGTGGTCTTGCTATTCTTGGTAGAGGAGACTTACCCATTGCACGGTTGTGCATCAGAGGCTGCAAGAGAGTAACTGACAGGGGAATCGGGTTTTTATTTCATGGAGAGCGGAAAATCTGCAAAACATTATCATCATTGGATGTTGGTCAAATGCCCGGAATATCTGATGCAGGCATTTTTACCATTTCATCTGCTGCCAAAGCATTAACTGATTTATGTCTAAGGTACTGCTTCCATGTGACTGATGCTGCAATGAAGATGTTGGTGGATAGACCAAACCACAAGAGTTGTCTACTGCAAAGACTTGATCTTTATAACTGTCGAAGTCTGTCTGATGATTTGATAATGCTACTTCTGGATAAGTCTCCGTTCCGTGGTTTGCGCTGGCTTGGCGTTGGATCTACTCTCTTAGTCAATAAAAGAGGCAATTTCTCCACAGTATGCAATGGACGACCCTGGTTGGTCGTGTGTTTTGATGGCTGTGAATTGGGGTGCCACGATGGTTGGCAATTTCACAAATCAAATGGCTACTAAATTATGCATTAGTGAACAGGAGACCTTTCTGAAAGAAGAAACTGTATAAATCAAGATAGACTTCATCTTTGCTTTCTCAAGGGCCGACACCACATAGCTTTTCTTTACATTGTTTTAACATCTCAATTAGGCACCGCCTATAGTTGGGTACCACAAGTTGGCCGAGTTTTGTTCTCTACTTTGTACTTCAGTTTTTCTAAAATACAGCTTCACTGTGATGCACTTTGGATAGCCTACAAGGCTGCAACCACACTTTTGCGTATGTACTTGTGCTTGAGCTTGGTTATGCTTATTTTAGCCTTACGTTCTTTGTGCGTGTTCCTTATACCATTAAATATAATTTTTTTTTTAAAATCACACAAATACATTATTAAAAATGTGCTTGAGTTATAAAAAAAATTAAAGATAGTAGAAGAATCAGAAAAATAGGGATCACGATTTTCTTGTTCATTGAGCCTAAAATATTATTTCTTTCTTTAACTCTTCAATATATTTTGAAAACAATTATATCATAACTTTTTAATGTAAAATTTATTTTTTAATGATAAAAATTCTATCAATTTGGAGAAATATATCTATGTTTTATGATAGAATTATTCTTCAATATTTACCGAGAGTTATTTGATATTGAAATATCTTATTAACATTGATAAATTATCTTCAAGGGAGATTAAAATTGTAAGTCTATTCTATTTAATCATTACTGGCCATTTATGCGTAATGGAATCATCCACTTACTTTTCGTCATTCGTATAAAAAGAAAAGAATATATGCATAGAGAATTTTTTAAAATAATAAAGTATATGTAAAAGACAATTGAAAATTTTGATCCAAAAGGAGATTAAAATTGTAAGTCTATTTTATTTAATCATTACCAGCCATTTATGCGTAATGGAATCATCCACTTACTTTTCGTCATTCATATAAAAAGAAAAGACTATATGCATAGAGAATTTTTTAAAATAATAAAGTATATGTAAAGAAAATTGAAAATTTTGATCCAAAAGGAGAAAAAAATTGTAAGTCTATTTTATTTAATCATTACCGGCCATTTATGTGTAATGGAATCATCCACTTACTTTTCTTGTAATCTTGTAAAAAGAAAGACTACAGTCAGACCTCTTTATAAGAGCATTCTTATATAACAACACTTCACTATAAAAGTCAAGTTTTTTTGGAATCGAACTTACGTTCTATTATAATATATATTTTCTATAACAGCAATTTGCTATAACATACAAAAATGTCCAGAACAAACGAGGATGTTATAGAGAGGTTTAACTGTATATGCATAGAGAATTTTTTAAAATAATAAAGCATATGTAAAAGACAATTGTGTTATAAAATCTTGAATTGTGGTGGATGTCCATAACCACCAAATGAGTAATGCTCGCTACTCTTCTCCATTATCTTCATAACTTTCACTACTATAATACTTATGGAGTTATGATTGTAACTCCATAATCTCCCCATGATCTTCCTCCATGATCTCAAATGCTTAATGACATATTCAATGACATATTTCTTCACTTTGCATACCTCTATAAAGGCCTTATAATAGATGGATAGATCACACAATTGAAGAAGAAATAAGAATCTCTCATCTTTTTCTCTCCATATCTCGTAGCTTGCTTTTTCTTGTTTTATATCGTTACTTTTTGCTATATTTCATAACAAACCGAAAATTTTGATCCAAAAGGAGACGAAATAATTACTCATATCAGCAAAGTCATAAGAACAAATTTCTATTGGCGGTACATTACACATATTTTTAAACCACTTGCCAACAACTCTCCACCGACATGATCATTGATCACATCAGCTTCATTGAAAAAGAGGTCATTAAACCGAAGGAACTCTAACAATTTCATACATAAGAATATAAAATCTAAAGGAGCATATTGTGAAGAAAAACGACATCTATTTCATGCAAAAATCAAAGCCACAAGTTTATTTGAAGTAATTAGTGTATCTTTACTTTTCTTTCATTGAGTCCCTAAAAAAGGAATCTGTACATAACTAATTATATGTTGTAGTTTCTACGAATGAATAACTTTTGAAATACATCGCCATATCTTGGCTGTAGGTAACACGTGTATATCTACAACACACATAAAAGAAATTATCTATGGACATCCAAGGAAGAGTGTTATAAAATCTTGAATTATGGTGGATGTCCATAACCATCAAATGAGTAATGCTCACTACTATTCTCCATTATCTCCATAATTTTTACTACTATAATACTTATGGAGTTATGATTGTAACTCCATAACCTCCCCCATGATCTTCCTCCATGAGCTCAAATGCTTAATGACATATTCAATGACATATTTCTTCACTTTTCATGCCTATATAAAGGCCTTGTAATAGATGGAAAGATCACACAATTGAAGAAGAAATAAGAATTTCTCCCCTCTTTCTTTCTATATCTCGTAGCTTGTTTTTCCTTGTTTTATATTGTTACTTTGAGTTATATTTCATAACATGTTATCAGCACGAGTCTCAACCAATTGATGTTATCTGCTTTAATCGGGTTTTATCTTCTTTCAACCAGAGTTGGTCAATTTTCTTTTCGGTCCAGTAAGTTTTACTTTTAAAATCTTATGTCAGCATATGTCTGTTAATTCATGTCTAGCTTTGAGTTTACACTTATGCAAATATGACAACATGATAATCAAACCAACAATCTTAATCTATGAATATATTGGATAATACTTACGGGTTCTTAATTTATTCTAAAAAAAAATTTGGAGGTAATAATATAATGCGCAATATGTTGGATACTAATGCACATACACGGTATTTCAGTACTGACTTTAGCTCAAGGATGAGTTCCAATGCATTGGCCTATTATACTATTAATTGGGGATAAGACGGTGGATTTAAATTCCAACGCACCATGAGGGTAAGACATCAAGATCTAGTCTTGATGTTCCATGATGATAAAAGTTGGGTTTGAGACCCAATTCATTATGGCCTAATATATCTTTATATTGGTAAGGCATTGGGTTTGAGTCCCAATGCACTATATTGATGATATAATAATGATTTAAGAAAAATAATGTATTTTCACGAAAAAGCATGATGCTTGTCCCACTTGATTTGCTCGAAATGAATGTGGTAGCGGTGCATAATAAGTCTAAATGAAGATAAGTGGAGACCAATGAATATGGGCGTGCCAAACAATAAAATAATAATAGTCATCATTATGGTAATTGTAAAAAGACGAACAATAAGAATTCTCGTAATATTCCTTCAAAATAGGAAGGTGATATTTGTCATCAATGTGGTATAAAAATAATAAAGCATGCCCATATAATTATATCCCACTTGAAAATATGACTTGTGATAAGCATTGTAAATGCAAACTCATTCCTGAAAGTGAATGTGAAAATATATATATGATAAAAATTATGCATAATAATATACTTATGCATGGTTGGATAAATACTACAACTCACCTCTAAGGGAGGTTTAAGACAAAGAAAGATAATAAATATTAATGTGTAGTTACATGAATATGTCATTGGTCGCGTACATGTGATACGCCAAAAACAATTATTTTGTCGTGCCTTAAAAGGTTATTAAAGGCTAAGTTAAAACAAGAAATGATTTTGCTTATGATGATTTTGACTATGACAATTATTATGATATGATTTTCTCCGTGAAGGAGACATTAACTATATGGATGATGTGACAAAAGATATTGTAGTACAAAAATCAATTAAGAGCTCCGGAAGAACTAATTTATTACTACCCGGATGAATAAAATTATTCATGATATTGATATTATAGTAAGTCTCAAAAGAAACCTTTTGAGTTTTAAATATATTAGCCAAAGTGGTTGGCATATTGAGACATTAAATGAAAGGAAGATTGAATATCTGCAAATTCCTATAATTATACCAGAAAAATATGAAAGGCTACCCGACTTTTCTTTTATTTATACTACATAAGTATAAGCATGATGATTGAATCACATGCCACAAGTAAACTAAAGGTTTATTGAAATAAATATCAATTGGCATGACCGGTTGGCCATCTCGGTTCAATTATGATGCGAAAAATTGATTGAGAATTCACATTGACATATATTAAAGAAATAGAAAATTCTTCAAGAATTCTCTTGTGTTGCTTATTCTCATAATATACCAGTTAAGGTTGGGATGGAATCCCTTAATTTTTGGAACGAATAAAAGGTGATATATATGTGCCCAGTCACCTGACATGTGTACCGTTTATTATTATATGATTTTTATAGATGCATCTATTGTATGGTCACATGTGCGTTTGTTATTAACTTGCAGTTTGGCTTTTGTAAGGTTGCTTGCTCAAATTATTAGAGCATTGTTCCATAATGTAAATTATAATAATTTATCTTGATAATGCTGGTTTAAATCCAAGTTGGTTTAGCAGAAATTGTATGCCTCCAATTATAGCTAAACCATTATTTATGAGAACAAAACTCTCAAATTGAAATTCGGTATGACATATATTATTTAATATTCAGCAGCACTTGTACGCATCTTGCCAACAAATTATGATAAATTCTCCCTATCACAATTGGTTCAGGGTCAGGAACCAAATAATTTCCATCTAGAAATATAAATGTGATATATGATTTAATTGTTGCACCACAATATAAAATTAGGTCTCCAAACAAGGTTGGGGATATGTGTTGGTGATTTCAATATTAGGGAGAGAAAAGTGGCAGCTGAAAAAGTAATACATGGAATGAATTATTATGAATACATATAGTTTCTCGTACAAGAAAATATGAACTTGAAATTTAAGTGATAATTCATTTGCAAATTATTGCAGATGCATTTGCTGGCCCAAAGCTAAATATATCATATTTCAGCTACTAATGTTCCAAATAGAATAAAGTTCATGATGAACATAGTCTATGGCATGCATGAAGCATAATAAACTAATTGGTTCCAAAGATAAAACTCTTTGAAGAATGAGAGGAGCAAATGATCAAGATGGTCATAATAAGGAGGCAAGTGCTCTAGAAGAGCACCACGACATAACACGTCACAAGACCTCGTGGGGGAGGCTCAGGTACCTGAAAATAATGAGATAAAGAGATCTCAATAAGTTATGTCTTTATGGAATAATAATGGAACCGACATAAAATGACCGTCGACGATATTGTTAATATAATGTGGCGCTCAATATTATTAATATTGACGAGGATCTTGAGCTCAAATCTGATATGAAATTTGGACAGATAAATAATTGGCCAAATGAAAAATACGTAATGAAAATTGACTTCACCTG